TTGGTAAAATTTTTCTTTTAGCTTTTTAAAATTTATTTGTTTATTATCATCATAATCTTGATTATATTACATTGGATTACATATAACTTTACAGTGTATTTCATTGCTTTTTCAAAAGGGAATGCCATGCATGTCAGTCAATACAGAGACATTAACATCCTCACTTCATCATTCAATATCTTTTCAATCTTTTTCCTAATCACTATTATTAGTATTCCAATTACTTTTTTAACTAGTCAATCACCATTTCTCGTTTTGCTTGTGAAAAGACTTTACCCATCATGAAATATTTCTCAGACCAATCCAGTTGAGAATACTATACATGTCATCATCAACAGGTAATAAGCCATATCTGTTTCTCACTAACGTCCTGCTTCTCTGTTTGTTCTCTTGCTATCTTTCTCTATCCTCTTCTCTTCACCCCCCACCCCCATTCTACACTATCTTATTCTCGCTAAGTACTTTCACTGCTTTTATGTACTCTAATATTTCACTCTCTACCATAGAGTGCAGATAGTCGGTATATATTAAGTGGATACATACAATATCTTTCTTTCATAGCCTGGCTTACTTCACTCAACAATAGATCCTCCTTATCTGACCACTTTTTTTTTTTTTTTTTTTTTGGGAGGGTTTTTTTCACTATAGGGCATGCATGCACACGCGCCCAGCGTGAGTTATAAGCCACTGGGTCCGGGACGTGAACCACGGTCGACTACATGGGAGTCCAGAGACATAGCCATTACGCTAACTGCTGGTTCCCCCATATCTGACCACTTTCTATCAAATGCCAGGGTCTTGTTATTTTTTTATGGCTGAGTAGTATTCCATAGAGTATATATACCACACTTTTCCAATCCATTCATTAGTTTGTGGACATCTAGGTTGATTCCATGTCTTGGCAATTATGAATAATGCTGCAATAAACATTGACATGCAAGCACTTTTCTGAATGAGCTTTCTCCTGTCCTTTGGGTAGATACCCAGAAGTGGGATTGCTGGATCAAATGGTAGTTCTATTTGTAGATCTTTGAGGAACCTCCATATTGTTCTAAGGTCATACATTTCTGAGATGGGAGAGTAACAAATAGAGATGAAGTTTAAGTATTCATCATTCAGTAAATCATTACTGAGTCACCACTGACAGGTACTAGTCCAATAAGTAGTTCACTTTTATATGAAATGAGACTTTCTGGGATGATAGTAAGGAAAATTGGATAATAATCCATACATAAATATTTATTACTAGTCTTTTCCTCTACGAAAAGGAATGTTTTGACAGTAAGACCAGAGACTCATTAAATGGGACAGTAACATGTGGGTTCCTCCAAGAAAAGCCCACAACCCCTACCACAGTGACAGCAACAACAATAAAGCCCTTTAAAGTGATTCTAATTGGGAGACATCCTTTGTCTGACATTTAGTAGAATTCCTCTTTGATCACTAGAATGAACAGCATATAGACAACTATGGCTGTTGTCTATGTTCTCTTTTGTTTTTGTTTTTTGAACTTTAATCTTTGGGTACTTACAGTTGGTTTAAAAATAAAGTTTTGTGTCTGTAAATGAAAAAATTAGACAATTTACTAATCCTGTGATCACAGATTATGTTTGCAAAAAATAAAGTAATATTGGACCATAAGAAGATAGATAAAGAGGCAGTAAGAAAAGAAAGTGAATTTTTAGGAGCCGGCCAGTGGAGTGGTGGTTAAGGGTGCTGGACTCTGACATGGCTGACCATGGTTCGAGTCCCGGACCTGGTAGCTTGCTTTCTCACTTTTCTTCTCTCTCTCTTGCTCTATCCCTCTCTGGTCAAATTTAAATAAATAAATAAATAACGTTGAATAAAATAATTCTAAGGGAACCAGCAGTTAGTGTAATGGCTATGTCGCTGGACTCCCATGTAGTCGACCGCGGTTTGCGTCCCAGACCCAGTGGCTTAAAACTCATGCCGGGCGTGTGTGCGTGCGTACCCAAGATCCTGAGAGGAGAATGGAGGAGAAGGGATTGCGGCATGACCATCCCCCCCTGGGGGGGGGATTTCTCGCTTTCTGTCTCTATGTCTCTCTCTGTCTGGTGAGCGCACATGCCCTATTCCAAAATAAAAAAAAAAAAAAGAAAGTAAATTTTTGAATGCATCAATACAAGTCAAAATCATGCATTGTTTCTTCGCTTTCACAGGGAAACATTTCTGTTCTCTTTAGTTTCTGTATCATAAAAGAGAACAAAGGTAACCATTGATACCACAAAACTAGGTTTTGTGATAGTATTAGTCAGGAAAGCATAAGCATTTTACTTAGCTGTTCAAAATCTATGTGACAAATGACACAAGTACAAAGAGCAGCAATGTTCTTGCAGTCAGTAGGGAAACGGCTAATTCTGTCTTAGTTTCAATAAGATCAAATTAAGTTGCTTCCTTTAACTCTCCAGTTTTCTTTAGATTATATTTCTGAAAACCAAACCAGAATACTGAAGAAGCATCAACATGGTAATCAAATTGCAATGTCACAGTTTTTTTTTTTTTTTCAAACTATAGGGCATGTACACCTACCAGAGAGAGACACAGACACAGAGGAAAAGTGAAAAATTACACTCCCCTGCCCCTGGAGGATGGACAGACTGTAATCCCTCCTCCTCTATTCTCCTCTCAGGATTTGGGCACAAACACACATGTGCTTAGTATGTCTTTCAAGCTTCCAAAGTCCAGGACTCCAACCAGGCAGTAAGTCATGCAGGATGCAGCCACCTTAACGTCCATATGATCTGTTGGTCCCAGGGACTATTATTACAAGATAATATGTGCAAATTTTATTTTACGGTGAGGTGGAGGGATGGTGTTAACTTAAAGTTAATAGTTTTTTAGGCTGTACGGTTTTAGCTGGCTATGCAGCCTATGAAGATACATCTCTGTTAATTCAGTTTGGCCGAGGTTTTTTTTTTTTAATATTTATTGATTGATTTATGAGCAAGAGAGACAGATTTACAGAAAGAGAGAGGGAGCCAGAGCTTGGCATTTCCAACGAGGTCCTTACACTGTGATTCACCTCAGCTTCACAACCTGAATCACGGGCACTTAAGCACCTGGTGTGCTCAGGGAGGTCTCCAGAGGCAAACTTGAAACCTTCTCATGTGGGTCAGCCTCACAGAGCACTGAGCTTTGTTGTGCTACAGTCCAGTCTCTGGCCTAGAATGTTAATATTTTTTAAAATTTTTCTTTCAAGAATTATTCCATTTAACTTTATTCATTTATTTACTTTAATTTGACCAGAGAGGGACAGAGAGAGAGAGAGAGAGAGAGAGAGAGAGAGAGAGAGAGAGAGATAGAGAGAGAGAACGAGAGTGAGAAACAAGGCCTTTAGGTCTGAGACTTGACCCATGGTCAGCCATATGGAAATTCAGCCTCCTTAACCACCACACCCCCTAGCCCCTAGAATTTTGATATTCTTAAGTTAGTGACAATGTACAGTGTTCCAAGTATTGTTTTGAGGAGAGTGCATGCGCCCTATAGCAAAACCCTCTATAAAAAAAGTAAAAAAAGAAAAAATTATGTGCAGATGTTTACAAACTAGCATACTAATGTTATGAAATTGGTTACAAATGATAAAAAATAGTTGCAACATTTCAATATTATTTCAACTAGTTTCATGTTCTCCAGACTATATCCCCAAATGATACTTCTTGTGATAGCCCTGGCCCCTAGAGGAACAACCTCAGCATCACTTATGCAACTCCACTCTAGATCTTCTGAATTAGGAACCGTGAGCATGGGTTCAAACAACACTCTGTTTTAATAAGTATTGTATAATCCCAAGTGATTTTGAGCAACCTAAAGTTTGGGACCGTGGCACATTCATTTTTTTTTT